TACCACAAGGATTTAACGCCATCGTGTTTTCCTGCTCTGGAACGAGTGGGAAGAATCCCTAATCTCAAAAGCATTTTCTAGAGGTGCTGGGTCATCCCTTCAGGACCTTGCAGATGATCCTGGTTTAATTGCAGCATGGGATTTAAGGAGTGTGATTAAGCTGGAAGTTCCAGCCTGGCACATCCCCACAGACACCGTAATGACAGCACAGCCCAGAGCTTCCCTGGGCACCAGGAAAACAAAGGAGACAAGCACTGGCCTGAAGGGATCATATCTTTCCATCTGCTTTTGTGTGGGGGTTGGAGAAGTGATCACAGGAGGTAACAGTGCCAAGTGAGACTGGAGGGGTCAACGTGATGGGCGAGTTGCTGCCAGGTCTGAATTCGTGTCCCTCCCTCCCGGGCTCCCACTCCACCCCACCCACCCACCGTGTTCACTCTTGCATCACCCCACACACAGGCACATCCCTGCACATTCCCCAGCCAGAGACAACACAATTCCAGAATGCTTTGGGTTGGAAGGGACCTGAAAGCTCATCTCATTCCACCCCTGCCATGGGCAGGGACACCTTCCACCAGCCCAGGTTGCTCCAACCTGGCCTTGGACACTCCCAAGGATCCAGGGGCAGCCACAGCTTCTCTGGGCAACCTGTGCCAGTCCCTCCCCACCCTCCCAGCCAGGAATTCCTTCCCAACATCCAATCTAAACCCACTCTTCTCTCAGTTTAACCAAAGATGGTGCAACACCAAAACCATGACACCTTTGTTTGACTTTCACCGAGGTTGTTGTTTTAAACACCCACACCAGGAGGGCTCTTTTTGGGGGGTTTTGCAGAGAACTGGTCAGGTTAAAATTAAGGGGATTTAAAACACAGCTCCTTTTGCTTTGTTGGTTTGAATGCCAGCGAAGGGGAGAAACCAAAGGGATGAGGGAATGGCTGGAGCTGTGTCAGGGCAGGCTCAGGGTGGATCTCAGGGAAAGGTTCTTCCCCCAGAGGGTGGTTGGGCACTGAACAGGCTCCCCAGGGCAGTGGGCACAGCCCCAAGGCTGCCAGAGCTCCAGGAGGGTTTGGACAACGCTCTGAGGGACAGGGTGGGATTGTTGGGGTGTCTGTGCATGGCCAGGGGTTGGACTGGATGGTCCCTGGGGGGTCCCTTCCAACTCAGGACATTCCATGGTTCTGTGTCTGCTCCAGCCACGAGGATGGTTGAAGTAGCTTCTCAGTGGGAGCATCTCCTTCCCCCACACCAGGTCACCTGGAATACTGGCACAGACCAGTGGGGATCCCAGATGTTTTTGCTGGAAGCCCTAATTCCCACTCCTCCAGCCCTGCTCACATGCTTGGCCTCTCCCTCAGAGGTGGCCCTGCCATCCAGGCCAGGGTTCCTGCTCTGTAACCCTCCATTAACAGCAGGTCACACAGCACAGAAACTTCAGGAGTGGGAAGGGAAGTGTCAGGTCATTAAGCAACTCAAAGCCCAGGTTTTAAAACTCTGAAGTCACTGAATTCTGCCGCAAAGTTTCTCGGGATGCCTCAGTCAAGTCACTTCATCTGCAGCAGCAGAGGAATTAACTGGTCTATTTACTGATCTCCATCATCAAACCCTAGAGGGGAAGGAGACAAAGAGCAAGAAGAGGTGCTTGTCCACCACCTCCAAACAGGGGGGTTGAAGTCTCTCTCAGGGGTTCAGCTGCTGGGGGAGGTGGGGATGATGTGAAGGTGCAGCCTCAGGTGTAACTCTACCCCAAACACCTACCCAAGGCTGTTCCAGGGCACAGCACAGTCCCTTCCACAGAAAATTCGGGATTAAGCTTGTTGGAAACTGAGGAGCTTTAAGATCCCTTCCAACCCAAACCATTTCTGATTCTGAGTATTCTCAGGATTTTAAGGCTCTTTCAAACCGTGTCTCTACATCCTTTTTACTTCAACAGCAGCTGTGAACAGTATAAAACTCAGGGAGCACAGAAATTCCAAATCAGCCCAGTTTTGTGTCCAAAAAAAACAGGGACTACGCTCTATCCTACATCAAAGACATTTTGGTTGGGACCATTTGATTTCCAGACCATCATCAGAGATTCAACTTAGATTTAATCAACAGTTCTCACGTTCCCATTAAATGCATTTGAGCTTCTTTTGCATTTAATTTTTTTTTTTAATTCCTTTGTTCAGATGTTAAACCAGACTTTTGATAGCCCAGGATCAAACTTTTTCTCTTATTCACAAGCAAAGGCTTTTTACTGGGTTTTTTTTGTTGTTATTTTTTGGTTTGGTTTGGGAGTGCATCTCCAATAACCTTATTATGTTGTCTCCACCCCTCAAAGTGCTCCAAAAAACGAGCGAGGGTGGCACTTCAAGATGTGGTTTAGTGGACACATGGTGGGATTTGGGCGAAGATTGGACTTGATGACCTCGGGGGCCTTTTCCAGCCTCAACAGGAAAATGTTGGAAGCTCCCCACGAGAAATACATTCATGGTGGAGAAAAGTCTCTGAAGAAGAAGAGAATTGAGGAAAGGCAGTTTTGGAACTCAGCTACTCTACTGAACCACAGATGACTTCCTACCTCAGAAACAGCTTTTCCTCTTATAAAAGTGTTAAGTTTATTCAATTTACCAACAGTGTTGTTAGAGAAATACCCTGCTTTGTATGTAATGTGTGGTTTTCATCAGTGTTAGACCCTGTCCCTACCTGCAACTGTAAACCCTGAGCTCACTAGCCCTGTTGGTAGAATTTAAGGCTTTTCCCTGCTTTCCATCTCCCATACCGTGTTTAGATATTCTCTTGCACGCTAAACTCCCTAGAAATCCTCCCAAATTCCACACATTACCGACAAAAAGCTGGTTCACACTGCAATAAAGGACATTTGGCCATTTGGCCCTTTCACCATTTGGCCTCTTGGCCTTCACCGCCGGCGGAGCACCCGATCCGAACCCGTGGCCCGAAAAATCCCGGCGGCGTCGCAGGGTAAAAAAAAAAAGGGGTAAAAACCAAACCAAACCAAACACCAGGTTCCTTACTTGCCGTGGGGCTTCCCCCAGCGCCACTCGCCCTCGTAGGCCGCGCTCCTGAGCCTGCCCTCCAGCCTGAAGACGTAGCTGAAGAAGCGGCAGGCGGGGGGTTCTCCGCCGTCGCCGTCCTCGCCGCCGCTCCGGCCCCACAGCGGGAAATCCCGCTTGCCCTTGAGCGCCTGGCGCACGGCCTGCTGCAGCTTCCAGCGCCACACCGCCTGCGGGCACAGCACGGCGTGGAATGGCTCACCAGGGGACACAAACACACACATGGCCCAGCTCCCTGCAGGAGTCACCTCGGCGGGAACAACCAACCACCCACCCAACCGCCGGGTTCCCACCCAGCCCTTTGGGTATCGCCCGTCTGCAGCGCCCATGGGGTTCATCTCGGGGCCTGCAAGTGGCATCAGGGCAGGAAGGAGCAATCCCGTGATATCTAAGCCTGGGGTCTCCAACTGGCCCGGGTGTGGGAGCTGATGGGGCTGTTTTGTCCGCCCAGGGCACGTGGATGTTTTTTGTCTGCTCAAGGCTGCCAGACGCTCCAGGAGGCTTTGGGTGACCCTCTGGGGCACAGGGGGTGACTCTGGGGGATGGGCCTGGGCAGGGCTGAGGAGCTGGACTGGATGATCCTTGTGGGTCCCATCCAGCTCAGCACGTTCTGGGATCCTGTGATCCGCCCAAGTCACCTCTGGCCATCTAATACACGACTGGCTGGGCCGAGGGGCCAAAAAAAACCCCCCATATCAACCCCCACTGTGCTGATTGTTCTGCTGGAAATTATAAATAGAGGGCAAAAGTCCCAAGGACTGACCTTGACCTGCGGGTCTTTGGCAGAGAGGAAGAAGGTTTCTTCTGGGGTTGTGACACGCAGCCCGTGCCTGGCAGGGAAGAGACACGACAGAGACCATGGGAACACATTCCTCAGTCCAACAGCAGTTCCTGCTCTTCCCTCTGCCCTTCAGAATGGAGCTTTTACAGCTGGTTTTGCCTTCTGAAGAGATGCTCAAATGGACAACTGCATTGTCTAGGTCTGGAGCCTAAATCATCCTGTTATTAATTGGTGTTAATTAATAATGAGGAGAGGGAACGGCCTCAGGCTGTGCCAGGGGAGGGGCAGGTTGGGCATCAGCAGGAATTTCTTGCTGGAAAGGGCTGTTAAACATTGGCAGGGGCTGCCCAGGGAGGTTTGGAGTGCCCAGCCCTGGAGGTGTCCCAGGAAGGCCTGGCCATGGCACTCAGTGCTCTGGGCTGGGGACAAGGTGGGGATGGGGCACAGGGTGGATTCTGTGACCTTGAAGGGCTTTTCCAACCTCACTGATCCCGGGATTCCAACCTGTCAGCAAAGCTGAGCAAAGCCCAAGCTGCTGTGACCCCACCTGAAAGGTGCCCCAATGACCCACAGCCCAATCCCACCGCTTGGAAAAGGAGATGGCACCAAGTTCTGAGTCATTTCCTCACAGTTTCACCATCAACTTGAACACTTCTTATTATTTTCTCTAAGTTCCAAGCGGGAATTCCTCACTTACACTCCTGGAGCTGATTTCTCCCCGCAGTTTTCATCCACCCACACGAGCTTCAGATCAAAACTCTGGAAGCTGTTCCCCTGCAACAAAAAGGGAGGAGATGTTCCTATTAGTGGTGGGAACATCCCACTCTGCCCTTGCTCTGCCAATCCATGGTAGGGATGATGGTAAAGATCATGATAAAGACGTTGATACTCCATGATAAAGACCCTGGAGGCTAAAAAAGAAGGAAGGAGAAGGAGAAGGCATTCCCAAATCATTCCAGACACCCAGTATTCCCAGAGAAGCTGCGGCTGTCCCATCCAAGTGTCCAAGGCCAAGCTGGAACAACCTGGGCTAGTGGAAGATGTCCTTGTCCATGGCAGGGGTTGGAATGAGATGAGCTTTAAGGTCCCTTCCAACCCAAACCATTCCATGATCTATCCATGATTTGGACTCCAAGTGGCACAGCCAAAAATGGCCCATGAGTGCAATGTTTAAGTCATTGAGTCACTGTTTTGACCAGTAACACCCCAAACAAAAGCCACTAAAATGGTTGAAACAATGGGCAAAGACTGTATTTCATTTTCCTATATTTATTTTCCCTATATCTAATTCCCCCATATTTATTTTCCTATATTTATTTTCCCTATATCTAATTTCCCTATATTTATTTTTCCTATATTTAATTTTTCTATGATTATTTTTCCTATATTTAATTTTTCTATATTTATTTTTTCCTATATTTAATTTTCGACTATATTTTAGACTATATTTAATTTTAAAATCATTAATAATAATTTATTTTTAGACTACAATTAATTTTTAATTTACACAGAGTCACGTGGGAGGATGTGCTTGGCCAAGGTCAGGTGGGTGACCACTATGGAGCCCACCACGGATTAATCACTGATGTATCCAGCAGATTTGGGAAGGGAGGAATGTTCAGATTCCCAGCCCTCATTTGCAGACACCACTGGATCCACAGACTGGTGATGATCCTCTGCTTGATCTCTCTCTCCCCCTCCCCTCTCTTCTATTTCTTTCTCTCTCTCATTTAATTTTAAATACAATCCATAATATTAATTTGGTCACACGGTCTCATTTGCACCTTCATTTCCCACCATGGGACAATAAGAGATGAAGATCCCTCTTAGCAGTCACCCTGTGCTCTCCTCTTAGTCGAGGTTGCTGAGGACATGATTCAGCTCAGCCTCATTTTAGCACCCCAAATAGGTCAGATAAACCACACCCAGCACATGTTCCCTGCGTGGAAAGGGAGCCTGGGGGCACTTGCTCCCAGCAGGATCAGGGCAGGGCTGAGGAATCCACCAGGGAAAGCTGGAGGAGATAATCACCACCCTGCTCCCTCAGGCCTAGACCCCGTGTTATCACACAGGCTCCAGCTTGGAAGGCTCTGGAAGATGCAGCAGCTCCCAAGGCGGCGTGTTTGGACACCCGAGGGGCTGGCACATGACTACAGAGAGGAGAACAGGAAGAGAGCCCTGTCAGGTCACTGAGCAAGCCAAGCCAGGCTTAATGAGCTCCAGAACAGCTTTGAACATGCATCATTCATCCTGCTGGCCAGGGCTGCACACACACCCCTGCCTGCCCCACACCCAGGCCCCAAAATACCCCAAACGGCCCCAAACCACCTGCAACATCTGCTGTCGTGCCACCAACTGAGTCAACCATGGGAGGTCCTATTTAGTGTCACATCCCTTTGGTCCTTTTTGGCCCCTTTTAGTAAGTAAGGGCCAAAATCAGCTGCAGGAAGGGGCCTGGATCACTCCAAAGGTGGCTGAGGGGAGTTCCATGGATGCTCCTCCATTCCTTCTCCTTTAGGTTTTCCTTTATTCTCCAGGGCAAACCACACAAGGACGCACCTGAGACAAAGTTTCCCCGAGAGCCGAGCTCTGCTGCATTTCCAGCACCAGAGGAACCCGAATTTCTCTGTCCTTGCTCCATGAAGTGCCTCTGGGGGGGCTGCAAGGACTCACCTGGATGAGCACGAGGACGTCATCGAAGAGCAGGACCCGGTCGGATCGGTTGGTGCTGGTGGAGATGGGAAGGTTCTTGCTGTCCTCCAGCAGCCTCCTCTCGGGAACACACAGCATGTCCTGCACACAGGGAACCAACCACTTCAAACCCCCCCAGTGACCATCAGGTTTCTTCAACACTTCCACCCAGCCCTGCTCCATTGACTTCAAGCCTCAAATTCCTGATCCAAGCTCAGTTCCCTCCCATAGAAACGTAAGCCCTTCAAACAAGGCTCCCCTTCTCTCCCCCCACCCCCAGGCCTCACCGTGAACTTGCAGCCCAAGGATTTCCACAAGGCCTTGGTGGAACAGGCCTCATCCAGGACCTGGCTGATGAAAGCCTCCAGCTTCACGTACTCCTCGATGACGCTGCCGACCACGTCCTTCTCAGAGCCCTGGGGAAAAGAAGGCAGGGCTTGAGCGATGCTTCCGACCCCTCCTGGGCCAAGGGAATCTCAGGCTGGACGTCAGGAATGTCTCTTCACTGGAAGGGGGTTAAACGTTGCATGGACCTGATGACCTTGGAGGTCTTTTCCAGCCTTAATGACTCCGTGATTCAGGCATGAGGACGAACCCTTCAACCCCCTTTTCCAGGAGAGCCCCCCAAATTCCAGCCACCATTCCAGCAGAAACAGGCAACCCCAGGCCAGCCATTTGACCTTCAGCAGCCTCTCCCAGTGATGAGTAACCCACACCAGGCTGAAGTGGCCACTGCTGGTTGCTCCGAGACCTTCAGGTGGGCTCTGCTCCACCACTGCTGGTTATTTCCACCCCAGCTGTCCCCTGGAAATAAATCTTCCTTCCATCCTGCTTTGGGTTCCCCGGCACATCCCCAGGGTTAATAAGCCAGCCATCATCACACTGAGCTTCCTACCTCTTTGAGGGCCTCCTTGACCTTGGTGAGGAGCAGCAGGTACTGCTGGACGTGCTCCTGGAGGGGTTTGTGAAGGACAGTGTACAGGGCCAGGGACATGGAGGTCTCGGAGGTGAAGTCTGCCAGGAACTGCTTCAGCACCGTCTTGTGCAGCTTCCAGGCCTCGCTGCAAGGTGGGCAATTAAGGCAAAGGCTCGTTATTTAGTTTTTCTGCAAAGTGTCACTCCTCTGCCTCCCAGACTCCCCGTGCTGCCTCCCCCTCAGAGAGGGTGAGGACATGAAAGAGCAGGAGATGATGAGGTGGCTGTGAGGGTGCTCATATCCACTGGTCCTGTTTTTCACTGGCTCTTTCCACGAGACTCCGGGACAAGCAGTGGAGATTTCCTGCCAGATTCCCACAGCATCCTGTCTCAGGTCCCAGCCCTCACCTGAGCCCCCAAATTCCCAATTCACAGGCTTTCACTCCTGGAGAAGGAGTTGTGTGGGGATGGAAGGAGATGGGGAGAGCTCTGCAGAGCAAACCCATCATCCTGTGGCTGTCCCATCCCTGGGAGCGTCCAAGGCCAGGCTGGACAGGGCTTGGAGCAACCTGGGACAGTGGGAGGTGTCCCTGCCCATGGGAGGGGGTGGCACTGGATGATCTTTGAGGTCCCTTCCAACCCAAACCACCTGGGGATTCCACAGCCCACTGACCTTTTGCTCTTGGTGAGGTGTTCGAAGCCTTGGACCACGACATAGTTTGCAAAGGTGACAAAATACCTGTTGGGCAAGAAAGAAAACCAGCCAGGACACACGAGCTGAGTTACAGGTGGACACTGGTGAGGGGGTTGAATGAAATGAACCTGCTGGGAAGGTTCCTTCACCCCCACAAAGAGGGAAGAGGACAAATTTAACAGCTCAGAGTGGGGCTGGTTTATGGTTTGGTCGATAAGGTGTTCAGTCAAAGCTTGGCCTCGATCCTGGAGGTCTTTTCCAGCCTCGGGGGTTTTGGGATGGAGGGAAGAAGCCCACTGGAAAATGTCATGTCACGTCCAACCTTGCCAAGGGAGGCTGGGGGAGAGGTGGAGCTGCTGCACTTGTCACCTGAGCTCACTCCCTGTGCCCCCTTTCCCAGCTCCTTGGTTTATCTGCCTTGTAGCACTCGGATCCTCACAGGAAGTTTAAATTACCCCAGGATTCGGCACAAGCAGAAGGAAACTCATGCAAATGTCCCAGAGAGCAAATTTGCAAAGGCTGAGCTTAAAATAATGGCTTCAAGCTGAAAGAGAGCGGGGTTAGATGGGATATTGGGAGGGAATTCTTCACTGGGAGGGTGGGGAGGGGCTGGAATGGATTTCCCAGAGAAGCTGTGGCTGTCCCTGGATCCCTGGAAGTGTCCAAGGCCAGGTTGGAGTAACCAGGGACAGTGGGAGGTGTCCCTGCCCGTGGCAGGGAGTGGCACTAGATGATCCTTAAGGTCCCTTCCAACCCAACCTATTCCATGATCCTATGGAAGTATCAGATCTCTCCCACCGATGACAAATTCCCACCGAGGCGTCCCTGGCCGATGTTTCCCGTCTCACACTAGAGGGAGTTCCAGCCACATTTTCCAAGCAAACACCACGTTTTCCTCCAGTGGTGTTTTCAGTGAAGTGGTGCAGAATGTCCACACTAATGATCATTTATCACCTTTTCCAGGGACACACATTTCCCGTTGATTTTCAGGCCCCTTTCCCTCCTCCTCTCCCGTTCCAAGGAAGATCAGGAGTGCACGGGGTGAGTCAGCAGAGCTGGGGAGGAACCACCTCTTTTTTTCTTTTAACACCCAACAAACCCAGCTTTTTAATTTCAAAAGGAGGGGAAATAAGATCTTAAGATAAAACCTCTCCTTTGTGCCTCACCCGAAACCTCAGCCTGGGTTTTCATCTCCCACGTGCCTGGGGCAAAGCAGCTTTAATTCCCCCAGTCAGCTCCCAGATGGAAACCCACGCTGCTCCAAACCCCACTCCCACCCAGGCCAAGCTGGTGCAGCGCTTCCTAAAATTATTTCCAAGGGAAAAATAATACAGAAGTGTGTGATGACATTGCTCTCCTCAGCCCTTCGAGGGCTTTAAAGCCGCCCGTGCCCGACATTCTTGCTGATGGCTCAGCCTCTGCTCTCCTGAGCTCAGCTCTGGCAGATCTGCTCCCTGGCACCACTCCAAAACCCGTCTGCACTTACTGGATGTAGCTGCTCAGGAACAGGTCCCCCTTCCAGATGGTGTAGATGTCCCTGATGCAGCAGCACTCGCAGCTGCCGTGTTTCTGCTTCACCAGCCGGTAGTTTTCCTCCGTGAGGTTCCAGAGGGCTTGGAAGCGATCGTTGAGGAGCAGGAAGAGCTTGAAGTTCTCCTTCCCCTTCTGGTCATTTGGCTCTTGGAGGAAAATGGGGAGGGAGTCAGGGGGAAACACAGTGAGGAAGCCTCGATTTGTGGAATGCTCTGCCTGTATCGAAAACTCAGACTAATATTCCAGTGTGGAGCACATTTATGTGCTGGGAGTGAGGCCATAGGATTGATCCAACTTATTATCCAAAGGATAAATGGAGTAATCCAGGGGTGATTGGAGGGATGTGGCCCCTCTGCTCTAGAGCCAGGCTGGGAGAGCTGGGGGGGTTCCCCTGGAGAAGAGAAGGATCCAGGGAGACCTGAGAGCCCCTGGCAGGGCCTAAAGGGGCTCCAGGAGAGCTGGAGAGGGACTGGGGACAAGGGATGGAGGGACAGGACACAGGGAATGGCTTCCCACTGCCAGAGGGCAGGGAGAGATGGGATATTGGGAAGGAATTCCTGGCTGTGAGGGTGGGGAGGAGCTGGAATGGATTTCCCAGAGAAGCTGTGGCTGCCCCTGGATCCCTGGAAGTGTCCAAGGCCAGCTTGGAGCAACCTGGGCTGATGGAAGGTGTCCCTGCCAGTGTCCAGGTTGGAATGAGATGATCTTTAAGGTCCCTTCCAACCCAAACCATTCCATGAACTCTGTGCTGCTCAGACACGAGCACCAGCGGGATATTTCCTGCCCCTGCCTGGCCCAAAGAACCATTCCCAAAGAACCATTCCCAAGTTTCCTTGGAGGCCAAAAAGGCAGTGACGTGAGAGGGAACCACCCCCCGAGCCCAATCCAGTCCCACCACTTTTGGCCAGACGGGCTCCTGAATATTTATATGGATTAGTTATGTCGGTGGAGCTGCTCTGATTCCCTGCCAGCTGGGAACCTGCACCCACAAGTTTTACCTCCAGAGATGGGCACGACCACAGAACCAGAGCAGGGAGGGACAGTGGCAATAATTCTGGGGTCAGGCTTGTGTGAGATGCATTTTGGATTCACGGACCAGCCCTGGAGTGGGTGTGCAGCTGATCCTGGTTAAAATGAGGAACAACCCCAAAAAACCAGAGAACCACAGCCCTGAGCTTGACTGGCAGGCCATGGACACCCCTAAAACCCTCACCACCCTAAACCAAACATCTCCACAAACCACTGACTGCAAGAAAACACGGAGTTCCCACTGCCAGTCCCTTCAGGGCTGCGCCGGCGACTCAAGGGGACAACTTCAGCCAGACCCTGTGACTTACCTGCCTGGAGCAGAGGCTTCAGGACCAGGGCATCGATCCGTGCCAGGCATGCTGAGAAGGTCTCCTCCAGCTGGAGCAGAGAGGTCGTTGCTTCCGCTGTGCACATGTCCTGGAATGACATGGAAAGCACAATCAACACCCTGTCATGAGGAGTGTCGACGGCACCTGCTGATCTCTGGGGTCTCTCCCAACCTGAACAGCCCCGTGATTTTATCTGTTTTCAGGCCTCAGGAGCTCCTGGCAAAAAAAAATCAGTCTCTCCTGCCCTTGACAGCACGCACAGAGGTCGTGGCTGTCCCCAAAATCCTTGGAAGAGGAAGCAGAAACCCAACAGCTCAACGCGAGCTGCTGTCACAGGAGACAAGAAACCACAGCCCATCTTCCTGCTGCCCCAAATTACAGATCTTCTGCAGAGGGCCCCAAATCCCCTTCCACACGTCTGGTAAAGCCCTGAATTCCTTGTGTTAATCCTGCCTTAGTGGCAGATCCATCCTCCCAGCAGACAACCCCAGTACAAAGCAGCAGAGGATGAAGCAGAGCATCTCTTCCCACCTCTCTCACCAATCTCCTGCCCGGGTGCCTCAACCTGCACATTTTGGGGTGGCAAGGAGTCTTCCAGCGCTGCAGGGCCGTGCCAGCCATCCCAAACACGCAGCTCTGCAGAGGGGCAGAGCTCTGGAGCTGCTCCTTTCCCAGCAGGGGCACTGCCCTGCTGCTTCTGTGTCACGGCCGCCGCGTCACCGAGGAAAGTTGCTCAAAGTGGAAGTCGGCGGCACAGCCATGTGAGCAAAGCCAGGCAGCTTCCTCCTTCCCAGCCTCAGCTCCCAAGGGAAATGCATCAGAGGATGTGGCCACAGCCAGCTGAGAGTGTGTCACCCCTGCCCCGGGAAAAGCTCAGCTGGTGAAGAAACCTGGGGCAGAACCAGCTGGTGACACCAAAGGTGATAAAAATACGACAACGGTTTGGGTTGGGAGGGACCTTAAGGATGATCCAGTTCCAACCATGGCAGGGACACCTTCCACTAGCTCAGGTTGGTCCAATCTGGCCTTGGACACTTCCAGGGATCCAGGGGCAGCCACAGTTTCTCTGGGCAACCTGTGCCAGGGCCTGCCCACCCTCCCTTCCCATCTAACCCCGTCCTCTTCCAGTTTAAAACCATTCCCCCTTGTCCTGTCCCCACATGCTGCTCTGCCCACACTCACCCTCAGCTCCAAGGCCACATTCCCACTAGGAAGCAAACCATGGGATTTGGGATTAAGCTGCCAATATTTCCTTTGCTGAGATGGTGGCAGAGCCTTTGGCACAGGTTTGATGGGTCAACCAGCACCTTCCCCACACAGGTCCCTGTGGCTCAAGGAGCAGCTGAAATGGGTAACTTGGAATCATGGAATGTCCTGAGCTGGAAGGAACCCCCAGGGATCATCCAGTCCATCCCCATAGCCCTGCACAGATACCCCAACAATCCCCCCCTGTCCCTCAGAGCATCATCCAAACCCTCCTGGAGCTCTGGCAGCCTTGGGGCTGTGCCCACTGCCCTGGGGAGCCTGTTCAGTGCCAACCACCCTCTGGGGGAAGAACCTTTCCCTGAGATCCACCCTGAGCCTGCCCTGGCACAGCTCCAGCCATTCCCTCCCTGGTCCCAGAGAGCACAACGTGGTTCCAGACACAATTAATTTACTAATGGAGACACAAGGAACCCTGAGATTAATTCTCCTTGTGTCGATCCACCAGGAAATCAGACTCAGAACCTGATCCTAATTTATCTCCATGAGAAGAAAGACCCCCAGGATCTCAGCATGGACCACACAAAACTCACCTGGATGAAACAAATCCTACTCCAGCCTAATTTAGGCGGGGAAATCTCATTCTTGAGCTTCACAAGTGCATGGATTCTTTGCTAAATAAGAGTTTGAGCTCCCTAAAATCACCCAGCTCTGCTCAGGGAACTTCCTTTCCAGGTCCCCTTGGAGTTTGTGCTGAAATGGTGCCAAAGGACAAGGAATTCTTTGGAGTTGGAATGGTCAGCTCCACCCCCAAGTGCCTGCACAGATGAATTCCAATGTTCTCTCCTCAGTAACCACCCCCTCCTGAATTTCATTTGTCTGAAAAACGGGTGGCATTTAAAAACTTCCCCAATCCCATTAATTGGTAAGTTTTCATCCCTTGTTTTGTAGATACAAAGATAAAGTTGGTTCTCAGGGGTCCTACAGAGATTCAAGCTTGTCAGAGGTTTCTAAGAAGAAATAATTTGTTTAATCTGGGAGTAAAATCAGGCTGAGGTGTGAGAGGATTTCATTTGCAAAGGCAGGTCATCAGTGTATGAGGCTCACTGAGGAAATCTGTTGGATTTATTTCATTATCTTTTTAATGTAATTAATTATGATAAAATTAATCACGCTAAAATAATTATATTAACATATCTATATTAAAAATAATTATATTAAAATAATTATATTAAATATAATATATCAAAATTAATTATATTTAAAATAATTATATTTAAAATAATTATATTTAAAATATTTCTTTTTTAAGAATTATATTAAAATTAATTATATTTAAGATAACTTTATTAAAATTAATTACATTAAAATGAATTATATTGAAAATAATTCTAATAATTGACAATTAAAAGAATTGATAACTTAAGAGATTATTTCTGGGTTTTGGGGGAAGGAGGAAAGACAATTCCATCATAGAATACCCAGAGCTGGAAGGGCCCCAAGGTCCCAACTCCATCGTCTCAGATGACTCTGACATGAGATGGTGTCTCCACCTGGTCCTTATTTAATCCTGCCAGAATCTGTTTTATCCCAAACAACACCCCCCCCCAAAAAAAAAAAAAAAAAAAAAAAAGGGTGCTAAAGGTCAAACTCCAAAAACCTTCCCCAAAATCTCATCATCTCCAAAACCAAAGCAACCAGAGAAGACACCCCATGACATTCCCAAATGGATGAATTGGAAGTGAATCGACCAAACACCCTCAGCTTTGCTCCACGGGATTGGGACAGTCAGCAGGGGAGGAGGATGAGGAGGAGCCTCCTCAGGGCTGGAGAGAACATTCCCAACCCCACAGGAAGGTTGGGAATGCCCAAACCCCTGCCCCAACCTGGGTGTTTTTTGGTTACCTCCCTCCCGGGCACCTGGAATTAAAATGGGGGTGAAGCATCACCCCCTTCCAACATCAGCAGGGCCACTGAGGGCCCAGTTCCCATGAAGACCCTTTGGGATGATCCCAAAGCGTTCCCATGGGTTGAGAAACCCCTGCAGGTGCAACACCCAAGGTAACTCTGCCAAAAGAAAAAACCAGAATCATTTGGATCTTTTCCTTCAAAACCTGGCCCAGATTTGACAGAGGGGTTTGTTCTGGGTTTGGGTTTTGTTTTTTTTCTTTTTAACAATCACGCCTTCACCCTTCCTGGGAAAATTTGGGAGCTAACTGTAGCCTCACTGTCAGCTCTCCACAGACACCCTTTGGATGTTGTAGCTCTGAGGCAGCTGCTCCAGCAGGAAAATGCGTGGAAAGGCACGGAGATTCCCTAAGTTTTGTTGCAGAAACACACAGCCAAACACGAGGAGGAAATTCAGGAACCAACTGGACGTGCACAGAAGGACTAATCATTTTCCATCTTCCCCCTGGGAATCCCCCTCTGTGCTGAAGGGAAGATGACCAGGCCCCACCACCAGGCGGATGGGCAAAGCCCAGCAGAGTTTGGGATTTTGGGAATGAGGTCAGGCCTCACACAGGCCAAGTTTTGCCTTCCCTGCCCTTGGAGGAGCATCCAAGTCACTGCTGCCTTCCAACTGCAGAGGTTCCTTCCTCCTGCAGCCTGCACCTCGTGAGGAAATCAGCCCCACACAGGCAGGGAGGGTAGAATTCCAGGCTGGTTTGGGTCGGAAGGTGCCTGAAGATCACACGTTCCACGGGCAGGGACACCTTCCACTGGCCCAGGCTGCCCCATCCAACCCAGCCTTGGACACTTCCAGGGATGGGACAGCCACAAATTCTAATTTAAAAGTAAATAAAAGCATTCCAGACAGAAGCCAAGGGGCACTAAACCCACTTCTCTGTCAGGGCAATGAAACTCTTCCTCTCCTTTTGCTTTTCACTCTCTCTCATCAGTGAACACAGACCTCATTATCCATTTCCTGCCCTTGGTCAGCTCAACAGCTGGATAATCAGGATTAAACTGATCCAAAGCAAGGGTTTATAGCCAGGGAAATAGGGATTAGCACTCAGGGCTGGGCTTAAGGGGTGTGAGGGGAGAGGAGAGATTTGTTTGAGCTGGATCAAACCTTCCTTCCCGGGTTATTTTATCCCCTGGCCCTGTTCCCCAACTCAGCTTGATGTACCATCACACCAGGCTGTGATCTCCACATTTCATTAACAGCCCCACAAACCCTGGAGCTCCTCAGGCCACAGGGACAAACTCTGGTGGACAACACCAAGACGTTGCTCCCCTTTCTGTCCCGAATTTCGCTGCTTTTCTCCCGTTTCCCAAACATCCTCCCGCATCCTAACGGAGCTCCCAACCCTCCCTCCCCCTCACGTGTCACCCTCCAGCTGAGTCTGCATTCAGGCTGGCACAAAGGCTGTCCTGCCATGTGGAAAAACAATCCCACGCTTTGTTTAACCCCCGGAGCAAACTCTGGGAGCAAAATTCTCCCGTCCGGATCCTTTGGAGCCTCGGACGGTCCCCGGTGTCCAACATGCTGGAGCCACCTCAGCAGCACAGACAGTCACACAGTGGCTGAGCCAGGAGGTAATTGGGAATTAACAGGGCAGAAAACCAGCAAACCACTCATTCCCAAGCTTTTCTGCTCCCATTTGGCAGCACAAAAAGGGGGGGAGAGATGAAGGACTTGGATTGGGATTTACTGCGGGAGGCAGCGAGTGACCAACCAGGCAGGGTCTGACTGAACATTTTCCTTCCTGTGGAAAGTTGCTGAGCAGGACAACAATGAAATCAGGTAGGAAGGGTTTAAACACCCAGGAAAATGGACACACTTGAGCACGAGACCCTGGGGCTTTTGGTCCTGAAGTTGCACAACAAACATCAGGAGCACAGCACCGTCCTCAATCAATGGGGACACCCCGGCATGGACAGCAGGACATCTGACCTCATCACCACTCATTAAGCCCCAGGACTCACTGTTATTCCTGAAGGGACACTCTACATCCATCAAAACCAGCTGGATGAGTCCACAGAGGGGCAAAAAAAACCACTTCAATTAAAAAGTAATAAAGGGATCAACTCCAGCTTGGGAAGTCCCTGAAGATGCAAAAACCACACGTGGAGGAGATATCACCACAACCCTTCCCAGTTCCTGGGGGGTTCTGCTCCAGGGACATCCTGCACGGTGAGGGGTGGGACAGCCTGGCTGGATGTTGCTGATTTTAGTCATCACCCGTAAAAAATCAGCCATCTGCAAGGCAGGACCTCGAGGAGACACCGTGCAAGGTTTTCAAAGCAAGGTTTTCAAAACATCAGCAAATTTAGGATAACTGAGTGGCCAGGAGCTCCCAAAGGGTCCAACAGGCATCCAGCACTCTCTTCAGGAAGAGCTGAAAACGCAGAATTGATTTTTCAGCCCTGGGAGAACATATTTTATTTTTTTTTTTCCTTCCCCAAAGATTTTGGTCCTTTGTGTCTTTAAAGAGAAAACCAGGAAAAAAACAGGAAGTTCTGCAGGAGGGAAGGAAGTGTTCTGCTCTTTTTTTTTTTTTTTTTTTCTTGCTCAAACA